GTTTCGTCACCATTGATTTTGGGGCTTTTATCTCTTTTCCCTCCAAGAACTTGAGGTAAGGATTTTGCTTAGAGTTATATATATATTTTTGCAAGTTTATGTTAATTTCGAGATTTCCTTTGGTGGCATTGAAAAATTTGACTTTTGGCTCAAGAATGTTGATGATTTTGAAAATGGGTTCATATCTTGTTTTCTTTAAATGATTTTCTTGAGGGTTTGAATCACATTGATTGAATAAAGATGTTTTTGGTGAGAAACTCCCAAGAGATGAGAAAATGTCTAATTTTGATGAAAAACCTAGAAATTGGGGGTTTCGAAAAATGTTGGGAATCTATGGAATTTCCTTATGCCAAATGAATGAATGAGTGGAAATCTTACATTATTGTATTCAAAATGACAATTTTCTTGGTATTTGGGAATTAGTGGATATATATATATATATATATATTTGGAATTTATTGTTAAGTGTATATACATACATAGTCATGAAATGGCAAATTGTTGAGAACACATGAGGTGTGGAAATGTTGCTACACTTGGATATATATATATATATATATATTCATATGTGATATATCTTGAACTTGCATTGGAAATGGGAATGGAAATTGTGATCGAAATGTAGAAATTGTGCAAAAAGTATTGTTAATGGAAGATTATTATCTTACCTTGATGTATATTGCATTGGCATTTCTATTATTGTGTAGTTACAAATTTTGAGTTGAGATTTGAAAACATTTGCATTGAGAAAGCAATGTTGTGAAATAAAACTTATTAAAAAGTTATGGAGTAAATACGTTGGTAAGTCCAACTAGGAGATGTAGATGAAAGTGACTAAGTTGGCCTGAGTGTTCAAGGTGAAAGACCAAAAACATGAGCGGAGTTGGTACCACGTGCCTTCCATTTAGCTACCACTAAAGTGGAGATTTGGTAGTGTTAGTTATGCCTACTTGCAGACACCAACCTAGGGATTACCCGTGTTGTATTTACCGTCCCTTGAACTAAATTGATAAATTTCAAATTGTTGAGATCTCAAGTTATCATTGAGCATGATGGTTTTCAAATGATGAAAATGTGGTTTTCTTGTAAAAAGGCATAGCATGATATGTGCATTTCATTTTGTAAAGCTTGTATAAAATGTATATACTTTGCTAAGAAATTCCTATTGGGCCTTGTGCTCACCCCTATGGGATTTTGGTGTAGGAAAGGATGTGGCGATCCTGCCAGATTAGGGCATGGATGTATGTGTTTAGAGCGTAGAGCTCTATTTTGTTGTAATTGTATTTTTGCAAGCCAAAGGCTATACATGCATGGGTTCGAGAAACCATATTTTGTGTAACCGGGCTTAGGCCTTGGAATTTGTAAGCATTTGAGGGCATTTATTTATTTTTTTGACTAAATGTTCTACATGCTATAGATTCAGGTGCTCGTAATCATTGAATGTATATTCACATGTGGAACTATTTTGAACCCATCTCATGATCATGTAATGTAAGTGTTGGGAAAATTACTTCGATTCATCATAAGGAGTTATGGATGTTATGTTATCATTATGTATTTTTTTTTGGGGCGTTACAAAAATCATGATAGTTAACTCATGCACTTCTAGTCAGATATTACCTTGGTCCCTACACATGAAATCGTTCCAGTCAATCCCTTGCATTTTTTTATCAAATCACACTTTGTTCTCTACAGCAATGTCAATGTCTCTATTTTGTTACTCCATTGTTTAAATTTTTAACAGAATCTAGCCAGGTGACAAGAATGTAACTACGAAATGAGGGTAAAAAAGAAACTCATCTCCGTTTTCTATCAATACATAAATGTATATCAAATTATGATTGTATTAGGCTAAAACAAAACATAAATTGTGAACTATTAAAAGGATGAACTAGTATTTTGCATAAATTGGAATCACGGAATTCTGTTTTTTACTGTAACATAGTTTTCTATCTATTCATCTTTTCCTCTTTGATTTCTCAGCTACCTTTTTTTATTTCGAAAGGTTTATTTACCTCTTCGTTCCATTTTTCAATATACGAACATATATATATATATATATATATAACTTTCACGTACTTATCACGTAGGACAAAGTGAGTATTGGTGGGAAATAAAAATAATTTTATTCTCTTACCCCCATTTCGGAATCACATTCTTGTCACATTCTATTAAAGATTTAAAGAATTGAGTAATAGGAGGACATTAATACTTATGTAGGGATCAAAGTAGGATTTGATCAAAAGTGCAGGAATTAACTGTCACGATTTCATGTGTAGCAGTCAAAGTGAGATTTGACTAAAAAAATAAAGAATTAACTGTTATAATTTCATATGTATCAACTAAAATAAGATTTAATACAAGATGCAGAGATACAAAGTATAATTTTCCTTAATGAATATACCATTGATTATTGTTACTGTGGCAAGTTCTCCCCTGAAAAAACTTCAGCGGATGTTTGTTCCGTAGTTGAACAAACTTGAAAGCAATAGGAGTTGACCAATACAGTTATATTTTATTACAGACTTCATTTGTAATACCTTTTGGGCATAAAAAGACTTTAGAAGAAAAATAATATACATATATAATTTTTATACAAAATTGATATTGTAATGATATTTTTATAATTGTAAACTAAAATGATGAATATTTTAATATATATAATGAATAATTATAAATGAGACATATGATGCTTTTATATGAATAAAACTACATTTATTTAAAAGTCTACAAACAAATTTACTTAAAATTGATATAGCAATGTTACATAAATGTACTTGAACCCACCTTCAACAACTGAAATAACTATTAACGGTAAACGCTTACTTAAATATTTTCTTAACAACTTCACGCAAACTTGACGTGGCAAACAGGGCCGGCCTTAAATAATACGGGGTTCTAGGCGAACTTACAAAATTAGGTTCTCTGTATATAATTATATTAAAAAAAATGAAAAATGAAAAAATGTTTAGATAAAATAATAAATACTTGCAATATTTTTATTTGTTAATACGTGCTGCATATATAATCACTAAAATTATATACTTAATTTATTTACATAAAGCAAGACATGAAGAATCTTTACATGAACAAAAAAAAAAAAAATAAAAAAAAAAAGAAGATAATTGGGGTCTTATTGCTTTATGATTTATCAAAATCTAGATAACAAAAAAAAAATTAAAAAATCACCAATGTATAAGAAATTATATACTTTATTTATTTACATAAATCAAGGCATGAAGAATCTTTACATGAACAAAAAAAAAGAAGATAAATTGAGTCTTATTGCTTTATGATTTATCAAAATCTAGATAATAATAAATTAAAAAAAATCACCAATGCATAAAAAATATTAAATAAAATATCTATATAATAAAGCAGAACGGATTTTGAAAATATGTTAGACACAATTGTCCTGCTAGGACATTTCAAGGGTCATGATTCATTTGTATATTCACATGGATGGCTCAGATACCCCCTTAATTTTATATCAATCCTAAATATATATCTTCCCGCCAAACATTAAGCCTCCTCCTTACCCACATCTCCCCCACCCTTCTCTGCTCTCCAGCCAAATCACGTCTCTGCTCTCTAGCCAAATCACGTCTCTCCTCCATCCCTCTATTTACCCACGTCTCCCCTCCATCCCTCTTTATCTCTCTCTCTCGCTCCCTGTTCTTCTTCTTCCCGAAACTGCTTTACTTCACTTTACTTTGAATTGATCTCCTTCAACCACAGATTCGCCTTGGAGTTTCCGACTTCCTCCGTTTCTCAACCACTCAGGTATGTGTATATTTACCCATGTCTCCCTTTCATCCCTCTTTATCTCTCTCTCTCGCTCCCTGTTCTTCTTCTTACCGAAACTGCTTTACTTCACTTTACTTTGAATTGATCTCCTTCAACCACAGATTCGGTTTCGTCTAGCTGTGCTTCAACCGCTCAGGTATGGCAATCTCTATCACAACTGTTCTTCTCACCCTTTACAATCAGAAATTCCAATTTACAACTCAACAATTTCTAAACATATTTTTCTAAACAATATTTTTTTATCTTTATATTGATTTTCAATTCCAATTTTGATTTTCTGATTTCAATTTCTTTCAATTGTAAATTGAACTCATTAAATGTTCTTTTATCTCTCTGCTCTCCAGGCCTCTTCTTCGGTATTTTCTGATTGCCAGATAAAATTCATCTCTCTCTTCCAAAGTTTTAGGGTTTTTTTTTTTTAATTCTTCTCTGGCCTCTCTTCCTGTGGAATATTTTGATATAATTTCAATCAATTAATGTTGATTATGGATAATTGAGACTCAATTATCAGAATAATGCAAAGTACTAATTATAGGGCAGAGACTGTATATATTGGGTATATCAGAATAAGGTATATCCAATATATACAGTCTTATGTTGAAAAAAAGTATAATTGTAACTAAGTAACTAAGTATAGATATACCCATTATTGGATAATTAAGACTCAATTATCATAATAATGCAAAGTAATAATGGATGGTTATACCCATAATTGAGACTAAGTAAATCATAACCCATGGTATTGAGAATAACTGATTGAGATACAAAGTATACTACGTAACATTGATGCATTTGGATATAATGCAAATATTCTGCCCGTTATCTGGATGGGTATATCTCAACTAAGTAGCTATGATATTATTGGTCCGGTAATGGGTATACCAGAATAATGGAGTCTCAATTATGATAACGGGCAGAATAATGGTATATCATAAGTAAGTATCTATTTGAAGTTATCTCTCTCCCTAGCTACTTCCTAACACATGAGAGATTATATGTTGAGATATTATCCTTTAGGCCAATAATGGAGTCCCATGGCCTGAGATATTATCTGTGTAATGAAGTTATTCTGCTTTAATCCATTAATATTATCCGTTATAGTTTGACCCATGTGTTATAAATTAAATGTTAGGTATTGAGATATTATTAAACATTTAATCAATGTAGTATATCATAACATTTAATCAATTAAAACTAATTGAAGTTATCTCTCTCCCTAGCTACTTCCTAACACATGAGAGATTATATGTTGAGATATTATCCTTTAGGCCAATAATGGAGTCCCATGGCCTGAGATATTATCTGTGTAATGAAGTTATTCTGCTTTAACCCATTAATATTATCCGTTATAGTTTGACCCATGTGTTATAAATTAAATGTTAGGTATTGAGATATTATTAAACATTTAATCAATGTAGTATATCATAACATTTAATCAATTAAAACTAAATGTTGTCTGCTATGATACCATGTGAAGTTATTTGGGACCAATTCATTTAAAGGCTTAATTGTTTTAGAGAGAGGTAATTTTATTTAGCCTTTCTGCACATCCCCCTTTATTTTTAGTGATTTGTTGTGCCTTTGGGTTGAATACCTGCGTTGTGTTGACAATATTACTCATTTATTTATCGAGATTTCTTGGGTGCGTGACATGATATGGATTCTTCTTTGTTTAGTCGCTAATGGGTTGAGATTAATTTTATGGGTTTTAGAGTCCTTTGCTGTAGTATCGTCGCTCTGATGATGCAGTGTCAATGTATCATTTGAAGAAGATGAACTGGTCACTTGGGGTTGTAAATTAAATTATAACTTGACAGAGCAGGATGGAAAAAACGAAATCGATTCACGTAGCCAATCCCAATTGATTGTAACATAAGGCTTAGTTTGGTTTGATTAGGTTTCTGGGTAGATGATTAATTTGTCTAAGCGAAGATAATTATTGCTCATGTTTATCTGCTTTACTCTTGACTTTTAGTCTAAAATTCTATACTTTTTTTTTAATCAATGTTAATTTTTTTTTTTTTTGGGGAGGGGGGGAATGGTGCCAAATCAAATGGTGGATTTTGCCAGGTGCATTAGGCTGTTGTACCTTGCTTTGCTTCAGAAAAAGCAAGCATTGCCTGTCCGCAGGAGTTGTGAAAATATCCTAATTGGAGATGGAGGGTCAAAATAATATGACTGTGAGTTCACTGAATGCTCTTCAGCAGAGAAGTATGCACTCTTATTTCCTTAATATGTCGGAAGCATGCAATTAATTACATTGGCCTATGAAATTGGTTAAACTATGATTCCCTTTAGGCAATAGAGTCCAATCAAGTTATGAGGAGCAACTTTTAATTATTCGAATATCAAATATATTTTTATAATTGCATTTAATCTTAAATTTAAATAGTGTTGCGATTACAATTATATTATAATCCTAATATTATTTACACCGTGCCTTTAGGCACGGGCATACGCTAGTAACAGTATAACTTAGTGGTCTGATTTAGGATTTGTAATATAGAAATTAATTAGGGTTTGTATATATAACAGTATAACTTATATGTAATTTAGAAATTGATTTAGGGTTTGTGTGTATATATGACTTAGAGATTGATTTAGGGATTCTATTTAATTTTCTTTTGAAGCAAAAAATAAAATAAAATAAAATAATAATAATAATATGTTGTTGTTGTTGTTGTTGTATACTGAAAAGGGTATGAGCATTCTGAAAACCTTCTTCTTGTTGTTGAGGTTGAGGTCCAGTCTAAGCATTATTAATAGTACAAATGAAAATCAGTTTCGGATCAAACTGTAGTTAGGTTATATAAGCTACTTCATTAAAGATGGAAACAAAATGTTACTTTTTTGAACTCCTGAGCCCACCTGATCCATAACATAGACGTGCTGAAAAAGAACTGTAATCCACCTGATCCATAACATATGCCATTGCAAGAGACCGAGAAATGTTTATAGCATTTAATCTCTGCTCAGCAGTGAACCTGTACATTTCCAATTGGTTATCCTTGAATGCTTGAACTTCCCATGATTTCATATCCATATATGGAGGCAAAGCATAAGATTCCTCAGGCAAAGGGCAGTGTTTTATATCATGCTCTTCTCTTTCAAATTCCATCTTTGGAAGTTCAGCAACCAAAAAACCACCACAAATGGATGTTTCACCATAGGAAAAACCACGGCTCTGCACTCGGGAATAAATTCTGCCTACAATTCAAATCAACATCGTCCCTAAATTTAAATTAATGAAGAGTGATCAGGAACAACAAAGAATGGAGGTTCAACTTATATAGGCACAGAGTCAGAAAAATATCATGCTTGTTGATTTGAAATGGCAGCTTCTGCCACTCTTAACCCTGTTGGAACACTAAAATTACTGATTAATATCACAATATCAGCTGCATTAACTCTTTCCGTAGACAATCTTTGGCCTCCCATGAGAATTGAACTTAGAGTCCATTTCATATATTTCCTTCTCTTAGTATTGTTCCAATTCCAAGCTGCTAGTTCTACTAATTTATTTATTGGAGCTCAGTAATTGCTTAGATATTTGTAAAATATTTGTAAACAAAAGTCTACGTGTCTGTATGTATATTAGATACAGAAAGAACTTCACCATGGTGAAACCTTAGACAATTGAGTGTCCCCATGCTGTAGGTGCCTTTTCCTGGACTAGAGTTGTATACTGTTTTTTTTTTTTTTTTGATAGAATTATATGGCCGTGCTTTTTAGACTGGGTATGCTTGTTCAAACTTCATTAGTCAGGCTGCTAGTTATCATGATGGTATAATATCAGATGTTCAATATTCTGCTATTTGAACTGAGTTATTTTGCTTTTGTTGATGTTGGTATAATATCATAAACCATTTGTTGTTCATGTTGGGATGGTATAATACCAAAGTGTAGCTCTTGTTTGCTTCCATTTAATTCATACCTTTCCTACTTTTTAAACAGTTTTGAGACTAATACACTAACTGATTGAGATTTGACTTCATATTTTTGTAGATGTCAACTTCAAATGCTAGCGGCAGTACCTCAGATCATTTGAAGAACAAAGTGTAAATGGACAACATACCAACCGTCACCGAACAACTTCGAAGTATGGGTGAACACTTGCAATTTCAAAGCGAACAACTTCAAATTCAAAGCACGCAGATGCAAAAATTTCAGACAGACTTAAGTCGAAGTTGGTGTTGCATTTATGAGATCTTTTGCTTCCTTGTAATTATTGTTGTATTAGTTACGAATATGTAATAATTTAAATAACAGTTAGAAGTTGAAATAGATGATATGTATGAAAATTTATGATATATGACAGTTATTTTGGAGGAGTATAAACATGTAATCTGTTATCTGTTTGTTTGTTTGTTTGAAGAATGTTTGAACACAGGTTGTTAAAATTATGTTTGTTTGTTGGAGGAATGCTTGAACACGGGTTGTTATATGTTTGTTTGTTTGAGGAATGCTTCAACACAGGTTGTTACATGTTTAACGAATGCTTGTTTGTTTGAAGAATATTTTGACACAGGTTGTTATATGTGTGTTTGTTTGAAGAATGATTGCATAGGTTTTTTGTTTGAAGAATGATTGCACAGGTTTTCTAACACAGTTTTCTGCACAGATATTTTAAACACAGAATTTGAACACTAGTTTTTCAACACAGATTTTGAAGAGATATTTTGAACATAGCTTGTTCAAGACAGATTTTTTCACACAGGTTTGGGAAATTTAGGAAACCCTGACTCGTTGCCTAAGGCCACGTGTCCGTCATCACCAAAGTTGCCTTGGCTCGGGAACTTGGGTACGATTGGGGAAGGTCAGCTATGAGCACCCCCGCTCGCCCGATCAAAGATCGGCCACTACTAAACATGATATCTTGTTTTTTGAAAGCACATGCATTCTGATTCCGGTTAGCTAATCTTTACTATGTGATGCGCACAGCAAAACAAGTATAGACTAGATCGCCTAATCTGGGACAAAGCATTGCATATCCGTTTGTTTGGAAATGGTTTTGAAGGTGCTACTCGCAAGTAGGCTAAAACACTGATTCCAATGAATTGTTCCAATTCAAGCAATCCAACCTTCACCCACAGGCATTCAGGCAGTTATATCACATAAGCAATTAGCCTCATGGCAAGCATACTGCCATGTTAACATTCACATACATGCAAGATGCTAAAGCATAAACACTCACAGTGTACTCCAAGCCAAAACAAGAAACTAGTTAGTAATCATGCATGATCCTAGTTCATGTTAGCAATGGCTAATGCAACGCATGCAAAATCCAATTAAGATAGGCTCGGCTACCCTAAGAGTGGCAATGTGAAATGCGACAACTCGATACACGTATTCAAGTTGAAATTGAAATACTATGCAATTAGTATGATGTGTCGAGCCCGGTGCGTGCAATACGAATGAATGTATGTAAACATGCTATCATAAGTATGCTAATTGAAACGTGCCCTAAGCCTAACCATTGAAAGCAGGTAAGTGAAAGGGAGAAAGACGAGGGGTTGGAAGACATGCATCACACACACGCACGCTTATTACAAAATTCGCCCTCTCTCGGAGGGGCCAAAAGAATAATACAAACCAAATAAATAATTAACTACTCTAGCTAATTAAATATTACAAAACCTTAATTAATTAACGAATTAATTAAGCTATTAAAGCAGTAAAGCTGCCTCAGGAAGAGGGTCAAATGCATGCATGCTCAATTCGCCTCGCTCGGAAACCCGTTGCCATGCCACATGTTGCCTCTATTTGCACTGTTCTGCACTTCTGAGAATTGTAAAAATCCTTGAGATGCCTCTAAATTACTCCCTGAGCATTGTGGGATGTCACCGGCCAAAAGATAGGACCACCGGCCATTAGGAAGTGGTCACCGACCAAAAGTGGGGCCATCGGCTAACAACACATGGCCGGCCGGCACTGAAGATGGCCGACCGGCCATCTCTTTCTGCAGAATCCTGTTTTGCTGCAGCAGAGGGCAAACAGAGCATGACAATGCATTTTCAAAGCAATGTATGCACAACCACCCTCACTATCATGTTTAAGACTCAAGGATGTGTAGTCCTCGACCCTCGGACCATCAATCACGCATTTCAATGCATGATGGCCAAAGAAGCCAAGTGTGCAACTCGATATGGAATGAAATGCACAAAACACATAAAGGGCCTCAACCTCTATCATGATTGATCGAGAGGCAAGGGATGCATACACAATGCAATGCAATGCAACCTAGGCAAGCAAGAAAGCATGCAAATAACTCAAGTATGCAACAAATCTAATGCAACATGAGCATGTTAACATGCAATATGCAATAGGCATACAACCTAAACATGTGGACATGTATAGCATGCAACAACATGCAAAATGAAACAAGCATGCAACAACATGGTGAGATGGACTTACACTAACATGGGTAGCTCTCAAGCATGCCAAAATCAATGGCCAAAATGTGTTGGGATGGTGGCTCAGAATGCACAAAGATGAAGCTCATGCAATGGTCCATAAATGAGGCATACAAGCACAACTCTCAAACGTATTTAAAGAGTGATAAATGCATGTGCATGACCATGAAACATGGACTGAAATTACACTACAAATGATGCCAAATTATTGAAATAGGCCAAGTAATGCATACTAAATGACTCAATACACAAAGCTTACAAGCAAGATTGAACCAAAGCCATGCAAAACAAGTCATGGGTGACCAAGACAACCAAAATTAGACCTCAAGCATACCAAAACATGGATAAAACCTTTTTGAAGTCAAGCCAAAAGCATGCTAAAAAGACATGTCACAACATGACGCATGTTAGGCTATTTCATGGGATTGCATGGCAAGTGTATGGAGCATGCAAGGGCTAACCAAACCAAACCTAAACAAAGGTATGACATGATAAAATAAGCCTAAGAATATGCTGAAATGGACACAACACAGGCTAAAATGAGATGCTACTTCAAGGAGCATACAAAGCTAGTGTGTGTGATTTACACTACAAGTGTATGAGGCATGCAAGGACCAACCAAACCAAGCAAAAACAGATCTAAGGCATGTTAAAACTACACCAAAAATCTACTGAGATGGCCCAAAAACAAGCTAGAAACACATGCTCAAACATGAGGCATACAAGACTAGTTTGCAAAATTTACACTACAAGTGCATAAACCATGCATGGAATGACCAAGATAGGCAAAAACAGTGGCATATGACAGAAAAATAACCACAAATACCAGCTAAGACATGGCCAACATGAACTTAACAAAGGTGCTCACATATGAGGCAAATATGACAAGTATTGAAGACAACAAGGAGAGGGGATGGTCCTCTCCTTCTTAGGACCTCAAAACACCACCCCCACCACTGAAATCCCTCTAGATTTCAGGGGTGAGAAGGCCAATACAAGGTGGTCCCGAAGCTCACAAAAAAAGGCACAAAAATGAGGCCAAATAAGGCCTAAGAGGGGGTAAACAACCCCAAAAACAAAAGTGATCTGAAACAAACTTCAAAAGCATGCAAAAATAGAACTTTTATCAGTTATAAGTTAAGCTCAAAACAGCATGCAAGATAGGCTAAAAGTGTGTGTAAAAATGGGGAATAAAGAGGGTAGTTCTCAACCTTGATGCACAGCTGCAAAACCAGCAGGTTCTTGGACCAAGAACCAACTCTTTAACCTCTGAAAATGACCTCCAAGAACCTTAGATGAATGGTGGAGGTGTATGGCTGTGAGGTGTGGTGCTAAAGGCCAAGAACAAACACTTTCTACGCCTAAATTATAGAGACAAAGAGAGATATATGCTTCTTGCCTTAAACAAATTTTTGGAACCTTTCTAAAGGAGAGGGAGGCCCTCTCTTATAGAGAAGCTAAAGAGGTTCAAGCTTTTTGGAGAAGTTAAAGAGGTTCAAGCTTCTTGGGAAAGCTAAAGAGGTTCAAGCTTCTTCAAGAAACTAAAAAGGTTCGAGCTTCTTGGAGAATCTAAAAAGGTTCAAACGGTTCAAGCTTCCTCAAGAAGCTAAAACAAAGGTTCAAAAGGTTCAAGCTTCCTCAAGAAGTTTAAAACAAGGGTGCAAATCCTCCATACACGTGTATGGGTGGCACGGTCTGTGCCACCTGGCACTAAATACCTGCATAAAGCAAATGAATAGGGTTCGGCCAGCAAAAAAGGCCGATCGACCAACACAAAGGGCCGGCCAACTAGATACATTGCAGACTGGCCATCACTTTTGGCCGGTAGCAATAAAACAAGGCCGGTGGCCGCAGGCCATGGCCGGTGATGTGTGGGGATAGCCAACAAGCCATTTCTCGCCCTCAGATGCAAAGACCAGAAGTCCTTGGTCCAACCAAGCACAAAACAAATAAGTCGAGAGATCTTGAGGCAAGGCACGCGACCGAGACCTCCGAGAACTCAAGATGAACACGAACATGGATGATCATCGAGTGTTCAAACGATGGCGTCCAAGTCTTGAGGACGGTCAAAAATTGGGTGTCTACAGTGGCCTTAATACTATTCGCATTCGTGAGGTAAGCCTACAAGTAACTTATATTCCCATGCATTTTCTTATCATTTTAAAAATATATTTCAATTATATATTCTACTTATTTTTTATGGGGAAAGGAAAAGGAAAAACACAAAGCAATATCAAAGGAGACAGAAAAGGCTATCCCTTTTGGCAAAGGAAGGAACATGCAAATCCCGTAGTATGGTTTCTCAACATTTTTAAAAAGTTTGTTTTTCGAATATTTATTAATTTTTTTTATATAGATTTTTGTAAGAATTGCGTAGTGTCATATACTATTTTTTATGTATATTTTTATGAGTTATTTAAAATACTTATTCAATTGTTTTGACTGATTGTAAAATATTTTTCTAAACCATGTTAAAGTAAGCAAACCATGTTAAAGTAAGCATTTGTATAACATGTTAATGCATTTGTCTAAACATTAATTTGAACACATGTTGCATTTACAACATATCATAATAAACATATAAGAGAAGAAAATGAAAAATGAAATGAAGTTTTTAATTATATAATATGGATTTTTTTTAATTTTAATTTTACTTATAATTGATTTATGTAGCAATGAAATTATTATCATTTTGAATTAATTTTTTGTAAAGGATGTGATACCAATATTAATAATTTATGTTAATTGATTTTTGTAGAATATGTGTACCAATATTATTTACACCGTGCCTTTAGGCACTAGTATACACTAGATGGATAGTGTCTTTTTGGCATTTGGTGAAATTCCATTAGTTTTTTTCCTCCCTTTTTAAATTTTATCAATACACGCATTGATTCTTATGTAACTAACAACTCAACCGAGTGAAGAAGAAAAGTTAGCTAAACTTTTGAAAACAAATACATGATAAAAGGGAAGCAAGAGATGGGACAATCTTCACATTTTAGGCACCTAATTATATAATATTCTCATT